CAAAACAAGATAGTGGGAGTATTACAGGACTTCAAATCAAGTTAATAGGAAATCAAAAAAGTTACTATAATATATCCTGCTATTTTTTTATTTTTCCCCTTAGTTAAAAAAGTACTAAAAATAATGAAATATTTTTAATGAATAAGAGAGAGATTGAGATAAAAGAGGACATAACAACATAACAATACAGGTTAAAGCATGACAGTTTCAGCAACCTAGTGCTTCACCACCAAGTAACCAGAGTTAATAGTAGTTACCATAGTGTCTTTTTCCTTGAAATATTTGAATATAACTTCATATACTATAGAGTCAAACATATCAAGACAGTGTGAAACTATTCAAGGGCATGAAACATTGTAGAGTATTTAGAACAAGCTAACAGAAAAACAAACAATGGTTTCTATATTAGCTCTTTGCCTATAAAATTTTTTGTTTATACTATCACATATAATAAAATCCAGCAAGATACAACATGGTAAAATCAATGGAGACAGAAGAGCCATAGTTTTGTGGGGCTTTAAAACAAGATGGTATTAAATCAGCACTAGCTATTATGATGTTTTGTTTTCTTCAAAATAGCTGTTCATTGCATCACAGGCAATAATATCAAACAGCCCAGAATAAAGCCTGGAATGGCTTCATCATTAAAATTCTACTTCTCTGCAGCCATTCTGCTACCAAAGTCTATATCAGTCAGTGTTTTCCTAGATAAAGAGATGTAATATAAGATGTACAAATGTAAAATAAATTACAAGATCATTGAATTGAATGAAGAATTATGCAAAATGTGTCTGCACACTGGAGACCAATAGTTTCATTCCAAGCTCTGGTTCATTGCAGTGTCCATGCAAGTTTGTGTCAGGAGATCAGTGAATCTATACCAGAAGGCTCAACGGCCTACTCTGGAAGACTGAAGAGTCTACAGAAGGATTCAAAATAAAAGATGAGGAGTCTGCACTAGAAGACTGAAAAATATGCAATGGAAGACAAGGACTCTGCCTTGCAGGCCAAGAGACAACATCCCAGCAAAAGGCAAAGATGAGCTCCACTAAAGAATGGGAGCCGATCTGTCCATATACATTTCCCTTTTATACCTCTTGACAATGATCAACCCTAGCATGAGTTCCTACAGCCTAATGTGTATAAGAGCCACCTCTGGCTGGGTCTCCTATATCCTAGGGTGTAGAAATGCTGATCTGATATAGTTAATCTTCTAAATTTCTCAATTTGACAGAATCAACCGACCATCAAGGCATCCTTCAAATCAAGGAGCCACATTCCAGTTTTGTCATGGATTTATCCTGAAAGTCAAGCCACAGTCACCCCATGTAGCCAACCCATGTAAGACTGAATGGAAAGCAAAGTAAAGAAAATAGAAAATACCTTCAAGATATGATGTATTCCAATGTCCAATCTCAGAAAATTTTTCTATTTGATGGCTGACCAATTGTTAATGCTTTTACTATAAGGAATAGGGCATTACAAAAATATAAGGCATTACCAAATTTAAGATGCTTATTAAGCTGCAGAGCTGGTTTTCTGGATGTCCACAACATTCATGTTATGAGAGATTCATTAAAAACTTAAGGAGATTGGTCACTCGAATACTGAGGAAACTCATTGACTTTTTAGCTTTTAATCTAAACACTGCCTAAAGCATACTAGATTATTCTTGCAGGTGTGGTTAACTTAGAATCTACACACTGCCTAGAGCATACTAATATTATTCTTGCAGGGGCTGTTAGGATTTCTGACAAGATAGAGTTGGGAAGTATTCTGTAAAGGTGCATTGAAGTAAGGGTTGGGACCGTACATCTCAGCTAGTTCCCCTTACTATGTTCATGCTAGATAGTAGCTCTTGAGCCATCTGAGGATTTTAACTATTTGTGGAAAAAGAATGGTTAAGCTTTGTACATTGATTTCAGCTAAGAAATTTCCATTGAGATCAGGACCATGCAGATGTAGAGAGATTTCCTATATTCTTTTAGATTATTGACTTGTGTCTGGCAAAACACAAAACAATTTTGTCTGCATTTGAATTCAGTGAGTATTTACTCACTATCATTTTGGACCTCCTATGGAACGCTATACCTGGAACATTCATATCATATATAACAGTGAATAGCAGAGAGCAAGAGATTCTTCCTAAAAGGAAAATGTCACTGTGGTTTTACATAAATATCCATCAGTAATAATTCACTATTGTTTCTAGGGAAGCTTTCCCAATAATATTCTTTATCTAGTAGCAAGCATGTAACCTACATCTCTAGGTGGGAATTTACATATGGTGGAATTCACAGTTGAAACCATACAAGTCTATTCACAGAAGATACAAAAGACCTCTTGCTAAATAAGAAGAGTTTTGGAAAAGTGTAAGATTACAAAGAAAAATTTTCAATTCATCATCGGAGAGAGCCATGTCTCCTGCACAGTGTTCCACTGTTGTCCAAATTGTTGTCTGAAAGGACTGTTAGATTAGGAGCCTCCTTGCTACGAACTCTTCATTGCAGTGGCAACTTTATGAATAGAAATTATTCCTTATTTGAACTCATCTACAAAAGTTTGAATATTTTATTTATTATATCTAAGATGAGATTAGAACAATATGGGTGATGAGATTTTATCTAAAATTAGTTTAGAAGCAATATGAGTGGATTCTCTCATAATTACACAACTATGGCACTAATATGTCACCTACAAGTTATTAAATATATCAAAGTTGTATTAACAGTGGGAACAAGTTTCTAATTTAAAGGGAAAAAAACTTTGAGACCTGAAAAAATCAAAATACAAACCACATTATAAATATACCACTAGATAGAAGAAATCTCACTGCACAGAAAACAATTGTTTTCAAATCAAATTAACATTGAAATTCTGAGGTATCACATATATAGCCTCAATATATGATAGATTAAAATATTGTAATACTTGTTTTCTTTAGTGTAACATTGAATTTGTTCTACTTTTAACCTCCATGCCTAACAGAGCACGAGAAACATATTTGACAATGTTATAGTGTAGTTGAGAACTTCTGATGACATTGCTTATGTGGCTTTTTAGTGTTTCAGATTGTTCTTTGAAAACAATGCCTTACAGACTTGTTTTGAGGAGAACAAATTGATAGAGCAGCAGCCATTATCAAATGATGAATTCCTGAGGCTTTAAGATTTTCCCAGTTACAAGAAACATCATGAAATGTATTTTGAAAATTCATTATTTACTCCACTTAATTTTACTTAGTTGACGCTAATTAGAAAGTTCTACACAATATAGATTTTTTTCTTGTCTTATAAAATAGCATATGGTGAGAAGTACTGTGCTCAATATTTAAATGAGTTAGTTTACTACTATTTCATTTGCAAATTGTGTAATTCCACCAAATAATTAAGTCTATTAAAGAGCAAGTGGCATGTAATCTTGATGCTAGTTAAAGAGATCTTGCTTCACATTTTGCCTGACCTTGGTGTTGGTAGAAATATTTGACTCCCTGAGTCAATATAACAGCAATATGTAATGTACAGAAATCAAGGAGCTTCTCATCCTTGGGACTTTTGATTAAATGATATTTCAACTAAATTTTAAAAAGACATATTATGTTGTACTTGAACTCCAAAAATCACAAAATGGTACCATAGAGAGGGAACACTGGACAATTTTTTAAAAATAGATGCAAAACAAACAAAATTGAATTACAATCTACGCAGTGTCACAGAAGAACAGTACACCAGGAGTAATTATAGTATTACAAGTATCCAGCATTTATAAGATTTCTAAAATTATGTTGCCCTGGAAATACAAAGTAAAAACTCCAATACAAATCCAGATATATTTCAATTTAAAATGCTGAACAATCTAGGAATATAAGAGCATGTTTTGCATTTCATTGTGTGGCCACAAAAATAATGCACACATAATATTTTATGGAACAATATTGTGGATTCTCAGTGAACATAAAGGAGTAGAAATAAGACTATGGCCAACATTATTGTTGTGTACCATATTTGCATTGAAATGGAAATAAAATGTAAAATATAAATAATAGAAGATACATGGTAAAGCTACAGTTACCATATCACATGGAATAAAATGTCAAGTGATGCAACAACTAAATACAGAACCAAGAAGTTAGACCAGATTCTAGACAAGAAATAATAATATCAATCTAAAATATAAATAAAGCACACAAATATGTCATAAATAAAACTTTTTTCACATTACTAAAAACTGATAAAGAATCCAGAAATGTGTCTGACAGTATTGATTATTGAATATATATTATTTAAGTGTGTACCAAATATGCACAAAATGAAATATATGTGTGTCATGCATCAGAATATGATGATCAAGTAAAGGACGAACAACAAAGAAAATGAAAACATTTAACTACACTGTTAGAAAACCTCAGTATAGTAGGTTAGCAATCTCTTTAGTTAGCCTATAAATTCAATTTATTGTCATTTTAACTCCAGGTGTATTTTGTATAGGACATGATGTGACAAAACTAGTTTCAATGATCATGAGATAGAGGATTTCAAAAATATTCTCTTTATTAGTGGAAGGCAAGTGTAATGGAGAAATGCACAAGAAGTTATTAAAATATACTATATTGTCTATTAAAGACATGACACACTTGAGGAATAAACTTGAAATATATTAAAGAACTGAAAAATTTAATTGTCTGTAGTCAAAACTTCTCATATTAAAATATCAGGAAAAATGGAGAAACTAAAGAGGGAAACAAGATAAATGTGAGAAATATCATTAATTTTACCCCAAAACTACTAGGATTAATTTCAAGCAAAATAGGAGTTGCAGAAAATAGAGAATAAAATTCAAATGAAAAGAATGAGGGTATAAGTGTTGGTGATTTCAAGACCATTAGACAAAAAAGTTATTTGTTTATTCAAATTCCCTTATGTAATTTGATACCTGACTTTATGAATGTTGAGGGGATGCTTCTGACTAGATGTATGTGAACGTTCTCTATGTATTCTTACTCCCAAAATGGGTTTTATGCTTGACTGAATATACAGAATACTTTTCTTTCCTGAACAACATAATGTAGCACTTTGGAACAAAGATACAGCCCAGAAGTCCTGCACTGGAAGCTAAGATAGAGAAGATCTCCATGGCCACTATCACCTTCCCCTTGCGGCTGTGGTACACAGGGAGTAGGGTGATCCACACACTGCAGAACACCAGCATGCTGAATGTCAGAAACTTGGCTTCGTTGTATGTGTCAGGCAGGTTCCTGGCTAGGAAAGCCACCGTGAAGCTGAGAAGGGCCAGGGAGCCCAGGTATCCCAGGACAGAGTAGAATGCCCTGAGGGAGCCCTTGTTACACATGATGATGATGTGGCCATGTTCAGAGTGTGCATCTGTGTCAATATAGGGTGGATGTGTTCCCATCCAGATTCCACAGAGAGTGAGTTGGACTAGGGTGCAGATGGGGATGATGTAGTTTAGTGCCCCTGACATCAGCAACTGCCTCATCCTTCTGCCTGGAGCAGTGGCCTTAAAGGCTAGAACCACAGTAATAGTTTTGGCTAAGACAGTGGAAACAGCCACAGTGAACACAATTGCAAATATGGTGTGCTGGAGGATGCAGGTGACTGTGCTGGGACGACCAATGAAGAGTAAGGAGCAGAGAAAACAGAAGATGAGAGAAATGAGCAGGGTGTAACTCATAGCTGGATTGTTGGCCTTGACTATGGGAGTGTCTCGATGCTTCACAAAGATCCCAAGAGCAGCAGCTGTGAGAACAGTGAGACTCAATGCAGTGCCAGCCAGAGCTTTTCCCAAAGGATCTTCATAAGCCAGAAAAGTCACAGCTTTTTTTAGGCAGCGGTTTTGCTGTGTGTTGGCATATTCATGATCTGAACACTTTATGCAATGTTCCATATCTAGCAAAAAATTAAGATTGTCAATTAGTCTTTCTTTTGCAAACTCTTATTCTCAGAAACTCACTGGACATGAACTAAATTGAAACATTTTAATTTTTTTCTTGTTTTATTTTTTTCTTGACTCGTCTTTCTGTTTTTCTTTTTTGGTTCTTGGATTGAAACTCAGAAAGGATTATTTGAGATACATTTCCTATTCTTTTAAATTTTATTATATTGAGAAAGAATCTCTTTAATTCATTTTATTGCAGAGGCTCCCACTTGACTTAAAACCCTCTTGCCTAAGCCTTCCAGAGCATTGAATTGCAAATGTGAATCACCACACATCACTTTTCCATTTATTTCTAGACACAAAATAAAACAATGATATGTAGAGAATATTCCTAAATAATGCTATCATGATTTATTGAGCATTGCTGTTATATAGTCTCATTTTATTTTCCACATAACCTGAAAAAATATTTCTCTACTTTTAAAAATTTATAAAGGAACTACTTATTTAAATGAAATCTGTATAAATATTTTCCCATACATTAAATTAATGTGTAATTGCACATTAGGAAACCCACATTCTTTGCTAAGTAATTCTTTGAATTACATATCAAGAAATATTTTAATGTCAACTGAATGAAAATAGATTTGTGGTTTTATAATAATCTCTTGTATTCAATTACTAGAAAACCCAATATCAATTTATTCATAAAAATGGATTTTATACTTGCAAACTAATACCACTGGAAATCTTATTTTGTTCTATTTCTTCCATTCCAAAGCACTTTTGCTTTTATGTGTTTTCTTAAATTCATTGCTTTTCATCATGATATGGTCTGTAATGACTGGAAGAAGTGGGACACAGAAAATTCTTATCTCATTGTTGGTTTCAAAAACAAGATATATTGTGAAGTGTGAGTGAATTGGGTATCATAAATGCCATTTTCGCATTTAGAAACTTTTCTCCTATCCATAATTTGGTAAGGAATACCCATGTTATTTACCTTTAAGTAAGATATGGATAGTTTTATTTCATCATCTTTATTTATTAACATTATTTTTTATTCCCCAGTGACTACTGCATTTAAAGGCATTTTATAAGCTGTGTTTATTCATGGTATGTTCTCCCTAAAATATGTATCTCAGTTTTGAACATAATATATTAACATGGTTAAAAAAGGAAATGGATTGTGAACATTATTTCTTCTTAGTTTATTTTCAGGTTTGAATAAAAAAAACATTAGCTTCTGTTTTAATTGAACTGAACTTGTTGTTTTATTTAACTCTGAAAAAATGAGGTCACTTTTAATATGTTTTTAAATGCTAACATATTTCACAGTTAATATTGGACATCAGGAAAATTTGGAATGAAACATAACACTATGAGGTCTGGGGATTTAGCTCAGTGGCATAAGTGCCTGCCTTGCAAGTGTGTGGTCAGGAGTTCAATCCCTGGACCCAATAAAAAAGAAAATGGCAAAGGAAAAAAAAGAAACATGACATTATGGTCTTCTGTCAGTAAATACACAGGGTACTGTGGTGATATGGGTACTGGGAGATTTTCAAAAAGTTTTCCTAATATCGTTTTGCTGAATTCTCCTGTGATTGTAAAGATTTCAAATAATTACTGATTTTTATATGAAATTTTCTATATAACTGCATTAATAGACAAATCTCTATCATGATATTTTAGTAGTTTTCAATTTTTCTCTTTTTTCCTAATCAATTATAATTGTTGTCAGCTTTTATTATCAAAATCATGTTTACTTGTTCACTTTCAACCCTCTATGTGGTGCCCAGAGTCCCGTTTACACTCAGGAACACTCAGTGAGTCCTGAGCGGATGAGGAAGCTACTCCTAGAGATTCATCCAAACCCAGAAACCCTCAGCAAGGTCCTTGGGGAATTGGAGGCATACTCAGGGGCCCACAGTCATCCTGCAACCCTTGGGAAGGACTATGGGGACCAGAAAGCTGCACTTAGACAATGGCAATCAATAGAAAACACTTGGAAAGGTGTATGGGGATGAGAAAGCCACACTCAAAGCCCCAATGCCACTGTTAATATTCAGTGAGGCCTGCTGCAGGACATGCTATGAGCAAGGGAAACAATTAAGATGGCATCTAGCTGAACTGGAGAAACACACAAAAATGTGAAAACAAAGGAACAAAATTCAAACTCAAAACACCACTCAAACTCAAAACAAACTCAAAACAGGAAAACAGGAAAACAGATCCACAAGTCAAGAGACCTACACATGGAAGAAATTGGAAATTGCACACCTGAAATTTGTGAGATGATACAAATATCAGTTGACACACAACTCCATGAGACTGCAAAGGAAATCAGATTCTAAATAATCTCTCAGGTTAAAAAAAGAGAGATGATAAACATAAGGAAACAATTGCTGAGCATATCCAAAGAACACATAGATTTTTTTAAATGTAAAGGAGCATAATAAAATGATGGAAAACTTGAATTAACAATGTAAAAAGGAATTAGAATACACAGAACAAATTTAAAGAGAAGAAATTTAAAAATCTATTGCAAGCTGACAAAACTGCATGAGTGAAGACAGACTTTCTCACCTTGGAGACAGGATTGTGGATAGAGATTGCAAAATAAATGAACTCTTAAAATTAACAAGGAAGCAGGAAATAACAATTCAACAAATGTAAGAGGATCCAAAAAATAACAGTAAAAAGTTGATAGATGTCAATGCAAAAGGAGTCAATCCAAAGGAAATAAAAATGACTATTTGCAGATGTAATAGAAGAAAATTTCCCAAGCATGGTAAAAGAGTTTGAAAAAGAGAAAAGTGAAATATATAGAACTGCAATTAGCCATAACCAAAATAAACCTAAACCTCCATACATGATAATCAAGATTCCAGAAGTTCATCATAAGAAGATAATATTAAAAGGTTTGAGACAAGAAACAGATAAACTATAGAGGAAAGCCTGTCAGAGTTATGGCAGTCTCCTCAACACAAACCATAAAGTCAAGAAGAGCGTGAAGTGAGGTATTTGAAGTTCTGAAAGAAAATATTTTGGAAAATCAGCAAAGAAATAACAATTGAATCACACCTGTGAATAAATGGACTTGACAGGCATATACAGAGTGTTTCATCCAACAATATCAGAATACACATTCTTCTCAGCAGTACATGGGACATTCTCAAAAATATACCATATACTAGACAATAGATCATATTTAAATAAACTCAAAAGAGTTGAAATTATCCTATGCATTTTATCAGATCATAGCTCCATGAAACTAGAAATTAATGAAGAAAGGAACTGCAAAAATCCCACAAATACATGTAAATTGAATAGCACACTCTTGAACAATCAGTGTGTCACAGGGGAAATTAAAGAACAAAATTAAACAATACTTACAGGCAAATAAAAATACAAATGCAACTTACTGGAATCCGAGGGATGAAATGAAAGCAGACCTCAAAGGAAAATTTAAGGCACTGAGTTACCACATCAGGAAAACAGAACAAATAGAAATAAATAAGGTAATGCTACACATCAAACATCTAGAAAAAGAAGAGCAAGTCAAGCCCAAAGCAAAAAGAAAGAAGGAAGTTATAAAACTCCGAGCAGAAATTGATGCAATAGAGACTAAGAAAACAAGCCAAAGAATCAATGAATCAAAGAGTTGGTTCTTTGAAAAGTGAATAAAACTGATAAGCCCACAACCAACCTCATTTTAAAAAAGGAAAGAAAAAGTTCAAATTCATGCAATAAGGAATGTAAAATGTGAAATCACTACAAACTCTCTGGAAATCAGAAGATCATCAACACCTGTTTCAAAAACCTCTATTCTCATGGGTTCCATAACACATAAGAAATGGACAGATTCCTAGAAACACATGAAGTACCAAAGCTAGATCAAGAAGATATAAAACTGCTGAATAACCCAATTTCTATTAATGAAACTGAAAATGTAATTAATTACTTACTTACAAAAAGAGTCCAGGCTCAAATGGATTCACTGAATTTTACAAGAACTACAAAGATTTAATGCTGACACTCCTCAAACTCGCCAATGAAATCAAAAGGGGAACAATCCTCCCCAAGTCATTCCTGGAAGCAAATATTATTCTAGTACCAAAACCTGAGAAAGACCCAACTAAAAAAGAGAACTACAGGCCAATCTCCCTAATGAACACAGATGCAAAATTCCTCCATAAATTATTGGCAAATAGGATGAAGCAAGTAATCAAAAATATAAACCATGACCAAGTGGGATTCATCCGAGGCATCAGGAATGGTTCAACATATATAAATCAATAAATGTAATCCACAATATCCATAAAGTAAAAAATAAGAATCACATGATCATTTCTATAGGTGCAGAATAATCATTTGATAAGATCCAACATTCATTAATAATAATAACCTTACAGAAAACTGAAATAGATGGGTCTTTTCATCAATATGATAAAAGCCATCTATGACAAACCAAGAGACAGTATCATATTAAGTGACCAAAAACTGAAAGCCTTTACCTTAAAATCAGGTACAAGACAAGGATGCCACTTATCACTGATCCTATTCAATATAGTACTGGAAATACTAGCCAGAGCAACTAGACAAGAGAGAACTAAAAGGGGTAAGGATAGTAAAAGAGAAAGTCAAATTATCATTGTTGGCAGATGACATGATACTCTACATAGGAGGCCCCCAAAGCCCCATTGAAAGTCTCCTAGATATAATAAAAAAATTCAGCAATGTAGCTGGATACAAAATCAATATTCAAAAATTAATAGCTTTCCTATACACTAGCAACTAAATCACTGAGAGAGAAATAATAGAAGCCACACCTTTCACTCTAGCAAGCACAAAAAATGAAGTACTTAAGAACTAATTGCATGGAAGAAGTGAAAGATCTACATACGGAAAATTATAATACACTGAAAAAAGAAATTGAAGACAATCTCAGAAAATGGAAAAACATCTCTTGCTCATGGATAGGAAGAAAAAATACTGTAAAAATAGCCATTCTCCCAAAACTGTTATACAGATACAATGCAATCCCAATAAAAATATCATCAGCATACCTCACAGATTTAGAAAAATCACTCCTAAAATTCATAAGGAAGCAGAAGAGACCTAGACTAGCAAAGACAGTTCTAAGCAGCAAAGGCAAGGCAAGAGGCATCACAATCCCTGACTTGAAGTCATACTACAAAGCAACTGTAGTCAAATCAACATGGTACTGGAATCAAAACAGAGCTGAAGATCAGTGGAATACATTAGAAAATACAACAACAACTACAACTACAAACACACTCAACCACCTTATCTTTGATAAGGGGGCCAAACATGTTCACTGGAGTAACAACAGTCTCCTTAACAAATGTTGCAGGAAAAACTGGCTCTCCATATGCTGAAATCTAAAGTTAGACCAATCTAGACTAAAACTAAAGCTAAAACTAAAATCTAAATGGATCAAAGATATAAGTATAGAAACACTAAATCTATTGGAAGACATCTTGGGTAAAACCTTTAAGACAAAGGGGTAGGTAGAGAATTCATTAACAGAAATCAAACTATATGGAAATTACTTCCCAGAATTAATAACTGGGATCACAACTTTCAAAAGAAATCTCCAGTGTAGTAAAAAGTAATCCCATAAACTGTGAAAAAATCTCAGTGAACTGCCTCTTAGACAAAGGATTTCTGTCTAAAACATATAAAGAATTAAAAAAAACAGACCCCCAAAATTCAAAGATTCAATCCAAAAACAGGCACATGAACACACACTTCTCAGATGAAGAAATACAAATGGGAAATAAATACATGAAAAATGTTCGTCATCATTACTCATTAAAGAAATGCAAATTAAAACCATACTGTGATTCCATCTCATTCCTGAAAGAATGGCCAGCATCAAGAAAACTACCAATAATAAATGCTGGAGAGGCTTTGGGGAAAGAGGAACACTCCTGAACTTTTGGTGGGAGTGTAAGCTGGCGCAATAACTGTGGAGGTCAGTCTGGAGATTCCTCAAAAAGCTGGGATTGTAAGTCCCATTTGATCTAGCTATTCTGTTTCTAGGCTTATTCGCAGAAGAACTGCAAATATCATACCACAGTGATATATGTGCACCCATGTTCATAGCAGCACAATTTTTAATAGGCAGATCCTGGAAACAACCTAAGTGTCCATCAACTGAGAAATGGATAAAAAACACGTTGTGTTTTTATACAATGGAGTAGTACTCAGCTAGAAGAAATGATCACATTGAGATATTTATAAATAAATTGACACAGCTTGAGACCATACTTATAAGTGAAATAAATCAAGCTCACAACTATAAATGCCGTATAGTCTCCCTAGTATAAGTAATGGTAAGAATATACAAAAGTGTATGGTAATCTTGATTCTTCATTATATTTCTTTGAATCCTTAAAATGTTTACATTCATTAGTTGGAATGGTTTTATTCTGGTTTGTTTGATTTTATTGTCTGTGATTGTATGAACAGCTATTTTGAAGAAAAGAAGAGATTATAATAGCTACTGCTGATTTAATATCATCTAATTTTGAAGTTCTACCATGCTTTAGTTCTGTCTCTATCTCTTTTATCATGCTGTATCTTATTGGATTTTATTATGTGTAATAGTATAAACAAAATTTTTATAGACAATGAGACAATATAGCAACCATTGTTCATTATCTGTTAGTTGGTTCTCAATACCCTGTAATACTTTCATTCTCTTTAATGGTTTTATACTATTTTGTTATGTTTTATACTATAGTGTATGAAGGTATACTCAAATATTTCAAAGAAAGAGACAGTATGGTAGCTACTCTTAAGTTGGATTGTCTGGTGGTGAAGCACTATATTGCTTAAATTGTTCTCACCTGTTTTGTTATATCCTCTTTTATCTTAATCTTTTTAAAATAAAATAATTAAAAGAAAGAAAATACCTTTGAATCCAGAATGATGTAACCTATAAATCTACCTTTCAAAATCAATGGAGAATTAAGATACATTCATAACAAAGATCACCCAAACAAATCTCTGAAGAATACTAAAAGATATTTAAGAAACGTATACATTTGCCACCATTTCAAGAAAAACACTGGCACTGTGAGACAAATAGAAGATACTCTCTAAATGACAAATAAGAATAGCTAAGGACATAGATCATTGATAATGCACATTATGGTTCAAACACTAGCAATTCAAAAACAGAAACATTAATACGAATGGAATAAAATGATAGTGAATTAGATTGCAGTTGAAAGGGAAAATTGTTTTCTCAATGTGGGCAATAGCACTCAATGTAACAAATAATTTGATAATGGAAGAAATATCTTTATCATTGATGTCATTTACAGAATATTTTCCACTTTGTAGAAAAACAGATTGAATGCAAAATACAGTGAGAATGAGTCCACAGTACATGCTCCTACCTGTGTCATTAGCAATCTCATTGTCTGCACATGGTATACAATCAAAACAACATGCAGCTTTTCCCTCCTGAGGGCTTTTTCTAAATCCAAGATTGCAACTGTCACTGCAGACTGATTGAGGAGTCTGGGATAAGGATATTATTGTGAATTCTTAGAATTTATTTACATCTTCAGAGGTAGAGGGATAAATTTAAATTGTTTGCATACATAAAGAAGCTAAATAATGTAATGCCAAATTTATTTCATAATATAAAACATTTGCAAAATATAGTTAATTAAATGCATTTCATTGCCACTCACAATAAAGACATTGTCAATGATTTTTCAAACTAGAACTTTACTTCTTCAATTTCCACATGTGACTACTGCATGAGAAATGCTAGCATCACAAAGCCTATTACAGTGGTTAGCTTACTTGTGGTTAAGGAAGTGTGCTATGATTAGGTATAACATACCTCTGTAATTCCTATGGCCCACTCTATCATATCCTCAGACAATGACATTCTCTGGCCATATGGTGCATGTGAAGAAAATGTTCCTAGTTTAACCTTATGTCTAATACCTTCTGGAAAATTCCAAAAATTGTGAATGTTGTACTCTGAATCCAGTTTTCTGCTGTGATCAAAGTTCACTTGGTCTCCAACAGGATTGTTAAATTGGATATCCTTCAGAAAAGGATGCAGCTAAAAGAGACACATCATCTGGTGTGAACAGAACTCCAGTATAAAGACAGAAATGTGGATAAGGGAAATTCCTAAGTGTCTTTAATCCTTTTCATATACATCAACTTGAATGCTACCATCTATTGAACTAGAATACATGAAAGTCTAAAAACTAAAACGCCTTGTTCTAGAAATGGCAGTCATTTACAGGAAAAAATATTTTATGCAAGCCCATTTAATTAAAATGCAGAATATGTTAGGCAAAAACGTCAACTATGGAATCAAATCTTCTAGAACCCACAACTTCCATTGTCTATCTGACTATTCTCAAAGCATGTGACAACAAAATGAGGTCATAAGTATCAGAAAAGTTTTCTGGATTAAGGTAAAATCACCACATATTAAATGCACTTTGGGTTTAACATTATTTAATTTGAGAGTGCCTAAATATTTTGAGAATATCACAGGACCTCTTTAGGTGAGCAAGGATTTGACATCCTATAGACAGAAGCAATGAGCTTCTCTCTTGTTTTCCCCTCCTTGTCAGTGGGTGATTGATTGAGAATCATTTCAACTTAAGAATTACCTCCTTAACAATAAGTTTGATACAGAATGTATTGTGTTTTGTAGAAATAGTTCTGATATTCTTGGGTGAAATACACAGAATAAATTGAAAGAGACATATTGATGACAGTACACGCCATCCAAAATAAGATGCATTACCTGCCAGGTGGAAAATACCATCATTTGTCTATTTCTCATTGGTGGACATTGAACTTCCTCAAAAACCATTGCATGGAGGGCATGGGCCACAGCATACACACCATTGTATATATGATAGCTCCCATCACTCATGGCTGTGTCAAAACGATTCAGAGGCAACCAAGCCAAAGATGTATTAGGTGTACAGTTCTTCAGTATACAATCAGGCTCAGAGAAGGAGCAATGGAAATTATTGTACCAATACATAATTAGATAAATGTCTTCTGGGTATTTGAAAGGAGTAGCTCCCTGGACAAAGTTTTTGAAACCTGAAATCTCTTTGTGGTTGTGTGAAAAAATTAGAGTCCCATGGAATGGGTCAAGTATGAAATTTCTTCCTACCAGATCAGGATGCCACTGTGAGTTTGTCACCCAGACTTTCCATGTCACAGAGTGTTGCCATATGTTATAGTTCGCATCAGTTTGACTATCTGTATCATAGTACATAACCACAACATTGACTGATGATGTATCTGCGGTCAGGATATGATGTTTCTGTGTGGCTGAGAGATATGACACAGTCACAGTGGAGACCATTTTCACAAAGGCTACACAGACTCTGTTCCTGTCCATCTCAGCTCGCACATCTGAGAGAAACTGAAGACCCTTATGGCCTTCTGTGATAAGCAGGCCCACCCATGTCCAGTGGAAATGAAGCACCAAGGACACCACACCTAGGGCCAAATATGTGTCCTTTGAAGCCACCTGATAGACAGAAGGATACTGGACCTTGTCAGTCAGTGTAGAATCAAATGAGCCAAAGGTTATCTAAAAGGAAATGAAATTTGGAAGAAAAATATTTGAGTATTTATGGAATGACAGTGGTAAACCTTAAGCTTATGTTGTAGCAATTGGCTGTTGCAGAATGAGACACATACTCTAGCCTTTTTCTAATAATCTAACTCCTTAAGCACTTTTATAAAATATAAATGATCAGAGTCAGACTTTCAGATCATATCTTAGCTTTCTGTCATCAATGCAGAAAAACAAATTATGGATAAATCCAATAAGCCTCTGTTTGCAGATTCTAGTGCATTATATTTTTTGAAAGATGCCTAATCCCAGTCTCCTTTTTCACCCTCTGCTCCTTGCTTCTCGTAGTTCAAGCACTCTTGATGTGGTTTCATTTTTCCTCTCCCATTAAACCCTCACCTGTGGAAATCTGTAGAGTTCCAGCAGTGGACCAATCTCAGCTGAGGTACCCCATGACATTTCTGTTAGTACAGCCACACACTTACTTTGTCTACTACATGTGTAATTAGGAATTTCATGTTGTCCTGTGAGCAAAATAAAGGAATTCTCTAGCATCCTCCAATGGCTGTAAATGAAATTATGGAATTCATAGCCCAGAGAAATATTGGGTAAAATGTGTGGATTCTTGTTGATCTCTTCTATAGCAAAAATGAAGGACAGATAGTTCTGGTAGTTGCTGAGTGTAAGCCTGCATGGAGAAGATAGAGATCATTAGGCAAAATACTTAATTGATGACCTTGCATTTCAATCCAATAACATGTATGGCCTGAATGCTTGTGTTTTTCCTCCACACTCATATAATTTGTACATAAGCATAAATATGATGATACAGGAAGTTTAATTTTTGAATGTAATTAGAATGAGATGCATCATGGACTTGAATTTCTCATTAAGGCATTTAATATCCTTAGTGGATTAAAGGAAGAACTGCTTCACAATTCTGCTTTAGGAGAACCATTAACAGGGCTGTCACTCAAAAATTAGGAAACTGATTCTGAAATTTTTCAGCCTTGTGCAATCATTAAAATAGTTGATTTCTTATTTTGACTCCTAGTTGATGGCTCATTTTTATACAGAAAGATGAGAAAAGGAAAATCATAACTAAAGATAATCAGCACACTTATTTCATCTTTTTACAAACAAGGTCATATAAAGTCTTAAAATTTAGATTTGATGAAAATAAATTAACATTGAATTTAGAAGAAAATTTAAAAACCAAAGATATTATTGTGAAGAATTCTGTTGACCTAACTTCTCTTTTTCAAAGTGAAATCTTTTAGTTTTTGTTTATTTAGACTGATGTTAGCTATTGGCTTGTCATAAATGGCTTTAGTTAAATTGAGCTAATGAGCACCTATTCCCAATTTTCTGTAGAGTTCTTTACCATGAATGAGTGTTGGACTTCATCAAATACTTTTTCTGCAACTATTGAAATAATCATGTGATTTTTGTCATTGGCTTTTTTGAAATGTATATTACATTTACTATTTTGTATAAATAAAATATCTCTTCATCTCTGGAATGAATCCAACTTAGTCATGGTATATATTCTTCCTGACAATTTGCTCCATTCTGACCAGGATAAAGAAAACTACCAACAACAAATGCTCGTGAGGCTGTGGGGGAAAAGGAACTCTTCTGCACTGTTGGTAGGAGTGTAAGCTGGCACAACAACTGTGGAGGTCAGTCTGGAGATTCCTCAACAAGCTGAGATTGTAAGTCCCATTTGATCTAGCTATTCTGTTTCTAGGCTTATTTCCAGAAGAACTGAAAACGTTGTACCACAGTGATATATGTGCACCCATGTTTATAGCAGCACAATTTGTAATAGCCAGATCTTGGAAACAACCTAAGTGTCCATCAACTGAGGAATGGATAAAAAAGTGTGGTATTTTTATACAATGGAGTATTACTCAGCTATAAAGAAGGACCACATTGAGATATTTATAAATAAATTGACACAACTGGAGACCGTATTCATAAGTGAAGTTAATCAAACTCACAAGTATAAATACCGTATAGTCTTCCCAGTGTAAGAAATCATAAGAGTAAATAAGATTTTATGATAATCATGATTCCCCATTATATTTCTTTGAAATCTTATAATGTTTTCACTCATTAGTTGGAATGGTTTTATTCTGTTTTGTTTGATTTTAATATGTGTGATGGTATTAATAGCTAATTTGAAGAAAATAAGGCATTATTCCAGCCATGGCTGATTTAATATCATCTTGCATTGAAGTCTTATTATGCTTTTGTTCTTCTGTTTCCATTGGTTCTATCATGTATCTTATTGGATATTTTTTGTGGTACCGGGTATTGAACTCATGAACTTGCACTTGCCAGGAAGGTACTTAAGCCACTGAGCTAAATCTCCAGCCCCATCTTATTGGATTTTAATATTTGTGGTAGTATAAACAAAATTTTTATGGAAAATGAGATAATATAGTGCCATTTTTTTTCAGTTATTTTGTTCTGAATGCCCTATAATACTCTCATTCTCTTGAATGGTTTTATACTATTTTCTTAAGTATGATACTATTTTATGTGAAGTTATATTCAACTATTTTAAAGAAAGAGACATTATGGTAGTCACTGTTAATAATGGGTGGTTTTGTGGTGGCGTACTATGTTGCTTACATTGTTCTGTTCTTATCTGCTTTGTTCTGTCTTCTTTTGTCTTAATTTCTTTAAAATAAAAAAATTGCTCAACTCTTTTTGCTAGCATCTTATTGAGAACATTTGCACCTATGTTCATTAGTCAGATTGGCCTTTAGTATTTTTCTGGGGGGGTTCTCGGTTTTGGTATATTAGGGCAATACTTGCTGCCAGGAGTTGTTTGGGAAGTACTGCTTCTCTTTTAATTTCATCAAACATTTTCAGCACTAGTGACATTAATTTTTACCTACATATTTTGTAGGATTCATCAGGACCTGGGCATTTCTTTGTTGGTAAGTTTTTATTTACATTTTCAGTTTAATTAGCTGATATTGATTTATGTAGACATTTCTAACTTTTTTATTTAGTTTTAGCAATTCATGTCTATGAATGTCCATTTCTTCTGTGATTTCCTTCCTATTAGAATACAGGTATTGCAAAAAGATATTGAAGATCTGGACTTCTGAAAGATTCATTGTGGTTTTTCACTTTTCATTCCTAGTTAATTAAATCTGAGTCCTTTCTTTCCTATTTTTGGTGAAGTTGGCTAAGGGTTGATTAATAATATTTAATTGTTCAAAGAATTAAATCTGATTTATTGGTTTTCAGAATCTCAATTGCATTTACTTAATCAGGGTTTATGGGTTAATATGTGCTCTACTTTGGAGAGTGTACCATGTGCATCTTAGAAGAATGAGTATTCTGATGTCATGAGGTGCAACACTCTGTACACATCTATTAAGTCCATTTGTTCACAGAATTTGATTGTGATATTTTATTGCCAATTTTTTGTCTAGTTGGTCTATCTCTTTGTGAGAGTAAGGATTTAATTTTCCATATTAGAATGATGTTATTACCTATTTGATTTTTCACATATGTAAATATTTATTGCATATAGTTGGGTGCACTGGAATTGGAGCACATGTATATTTTTTGGCTATTATCTCTTAGTTTTGGCTATTTCCCTTCCAAGTACGTAGTGGCCCTCTTTGTCACTTTTGATGGATCTTGGCTTGAAGTTCAAGTGTCTTCAAATAAAATGGCTACCCATGCTTTTTTCTGAGTTACTGTGGTATGGAGTACTGGAGTACTATGAATCACTTTTTGTGTTAAATGTGTTTCTGGTGTGCAGGTTGCTGTTGAACACTGCTTTGTGATTCATTGATTCATTCTGTAAATAAGCTCCTTTCCTTCTTTCTTTTTTTTTTTCTTTTTGAAATTGGGTCTCACTTGGCAGTTCAGGCTGGCTTTGAGCTCTCTTTGTAATCCAGGCTGTTCTTGAGCCCACCAAAATCCTCCTGTCTTAGACTCCAGAGTACTGGAATACACTGTCTCTTTTGATTAAAAGTCAGTTGTTAACTTGTATGTATTTTGTTATTACTTGTATGTATTCACATATCTTTTCCACATTATTTTCTTGTTGTTGATTCTCTTCATTTCTCCTGTGCTTAATTGCCTGCCTTGCCTAGTGAATTCTTTCTTTTGGTGTTCTTGTGCCTGAGATTTTTGTGTTGTCCTTCTTACATGTCCCCCAGTGCATTCTGAAGGCATAGTTTTGTGGTCTTTCTTTAATTGTTCTTTGTCATGAAAATACAATCTTTCTCCATTGATTTAGAAAGAAAATATTTAGGAATTAATGTAAAATAAAGTAAAAATATCAGTACCTTAAAAATTACAGTATTCATGTCCCTGGCATGCCTGAGATTCCTACATTGTCATGGACCCACTCCTCAGTTTTGTGTGTCTGGGAAATCACTGAACAATGCTGCAGGCCTGGCTCTTGGCCCAGGGTGCCAGAGAAGCCCCTGGCATGCCTGTAATACCCAGACCACTGTTACAGGCCCACCCCTCAGCCTAGCATGCCGGGGATGACCCCACATGGCTGAGAAGCCTCAGACTGCAACTATGTGCCTGCCCCTCAGCCCAACATGCATGGGATGTCCCAGATCACCATGATGGGCCTGCTCCTAAGCTCAGAACACCTGAGGTGCACCAGCATGCCTGAGATGCCTGGACCTCCCCTTGGCCCAGTACTCCTGGGGCATGCCCCAGCATGCCTGAGACACCCAGACCACCATCATAGGTCCACACTTTAGCCTGGCACAACTGGGACTCCCCTGAGCACTGCCACAAGTCCAGAACTTGGACAGGGACCACCTGTGTCACCCTGGGCATGACTGGCATGTCTTGGACAACCAGGACGGTTCAGCTCCATGACGTGCTGCTGCTGTGGGCCCACTCCTTGTCCCAGAAGGCATGGCATTCCCCTGACTGCTGCTGAGAGCCCACCCCTCAGCCCAGAGTGCCTGAGATGCCCTCAGTTCACCTGGGGTGCCCCAGACCACTGATGCAGACCCACCTCTTGGGGAACCCACCTCATCTCCTGGGCCTAGTACTGTGGTTGATTTTTGGCTCCAGCTCCTTCTCTCAGAACCTTGGACAATAGTGAATTACCATGCTGGCTGATGGGAGACTCAGGAAAACCTTACCCAAACAGAAGACCACAGCAAGCTCCAGTAAGTGTGATGAGTATTCCCCAAAGTAGATGTCTGCAGTGGGTAAATAGGAGAGAAAGTGATGCTTTCTCCAACTGTAAGACCTTGACAAACCTGACAAGAGAGTGAGTAATACCCTCCTCCACACAGAGAATGTCAGACAGGTTGAAACGTGTGCCAATAAGACCTCCCTCAATTTGGAGAAAATTAAAAGCTCATTAGACACCCAGTGACACAGTAGGGTCTCAGCTGACCAAACACTATAGAATGGGGGATCTGGTGACCTGCAACAACCTGAAGACATAGCAACAGCAGGAATTAGTACTTGATCTACATGAATACTTCTAGGCTAGTTATCCCAGGCAGAAATTAATACTTGACCTATATCAATACTTCTAGGCTAGTTATCCCAGGAATAATATAGGACTCACCCAACAGGCTCTGCAGGTGACTGACTCTCCCCTTTGTTGTGGTACCCAGCAATTACACAAACATCAACCACACAGTAGGACCCTACAACTCACACTATGGACAGTTGAAGCTATTGGGATTGAAAGACCAAATATTTATGCAAAAGGAGAAGGTGACAAAACAAAAAGGCAAAATGCAATCTCAAACATATATCCCATCAGGAGAAAGTACAGGAGACATTGAAATAGAGGATTTTAATAGTCATACACCACAAATCTCTGAAAAGATAGCAAATGAAGTTAAGAAACAAATCAATGAGGCTATAGAGGAAATCAAATTAGAAATCATGTCTCACATAAAGACAGAAGTAGCAACCTTAATTAATGTGTTGCTCAACATAGCTAGGCAAGAAATAGATAAAATATACAGGAGGATCGGAAATTGATTGAAACTCTGAACAATACAGAAAAAAAAACAGCAGAATTCATGAAACAAATTCAGAGATATCCAAGAAACAAAAAAATCAATTAAAATCTAGAAAACTGTTTAAATGAAGATGACTACAGAATTTTAGACCTTGAGGACAGGATCACACATAGTGATCATCAAAGGGTACAACTGATAAAAATAACTGTGCCTGAATCAAGGCCAGTGGCTTCCTGATGCTGTTGGTTTCAAGCACGAGCCTAAAGAGATGTCTTTCTATAGTCTGTTGGTTATTTCAGAACTTGGACAGTGAAATGGTCAATTCATTAGATAAAACAGCTTGAAGCAAACCTTCCTACCCAGTGAGCAGCTGTGAACGTGGCAGGCTGCAGCTGCACAGGACAGGAGCCACAAGGACCCTGCCTTGCTGGGACCTGGAGGGCTGGGAAACCAAGCAACCCCTCCCCACCTGGTGAGTGGCTGTGAGCATGGCAGGATATGGGGGCCCAGGATGGGAGCCCCCAGAGTTTAATGGAACCTGTGCCATGTTAGGACATGGAGCACCAAGAAACCAAGCAACCCTTTCCATGAATGAGCATCTTAGAGCCTTCCTGCACATGGGCTAAGAATCAAACATCACACCCCCTATTAGCAAGTGGGAGCCAGTGATCTGGACATCCTTTGAGAGGAGGACCATAGGCAATGTAGCAAATAAGGTGGAATTCTTTCTAACATCTGTTTGAAGGCAAATACTTTTATCCCTGTTTTGCTTTGTTCTAAATAATGGTGTTACTTTAGGCTGTTTTGCTTTGTTGAACTTCAATATACATGACAGTATGGATAGCTATTTTTAAGAGAATAAAAGACCCTATGACAGCCATTAGTGACTTCCCTAGTGTTTGGTTTTGAAGACTTACAATGCCTTCCACACTCTGTTCAGACCAGTTTTATACTGTCATTTTGTATAAATTCTCTGTATGTGAAGTCATGGACATATTTGGAAGAAAACAAGAGACAATATGATAAATAGTGAAGATCTCAGGTCATCTAAATTTGAAATTTATATCTCTTACATTGCTTTCTTATGTCCTATTTGTCATGTTTAATTTTAACTCTTTTTTAAAAAGTTTTAAAAAGCATAAAAATAACAAAGAAACATGCAATAACAATCCAGCAGCTTCAAGATAATAATGTCAACAGCAACAATATAAGACTAATAGGCACCAGTGAAGTGCAGGAGTCAACGCAAATGACATAACTAAACTATTTTCAGATGTAATAGCAGAAAATATCCAAAACACGTGGAAAAATCTGAAACACAAATAAATGAAGCATACAGGCATCAAACAGTCAAAATCAGCATAAATCTACAGTCAGACATATAAAGATTAAGATCCCTGACATGCAGCATAAAAAAGAATACTAATAGTGGTTAGTCAAAAGACACAGCTCACCAATCAAGGAAATTCTGTTAGAATCACAAGAGACTTTTCATCGTAAACATTCAGGTTAAGATAAACTAGGAGTGAATTATTTTAAGCCTTAAAAGAAAAGGACTTTCAATGCAGGCTGATGTATCTAGAAAAACTGACAATCAAATTTAATGAAGAAAGAAGATACTTCAGTGACATAGAACAAATGAAGAAATTCATGCTCACAAAGCCAACCTATAAACAGTACTGAAAGACATGCTAGACACAGATAAAAATGACCACAATCTCCAGAATAACAAAAACAGATACCACAGGCTAGACAAAAAATTAAACAAGGGAGAAAAGCAGGAAATCAACACCAAGAACACAATAAGGCAAAGTCAAGCCAGAAAATACCAGTGATATCCATAGAGGTACATGGGCTCAAATCACCTATTAAAAGAAACAGGTTGACGGAATTGATCAAAAAATGGGATCTCACAATATACTATATACAATAAACAAATCTGACTCAAAATGAAACTCATAGATTAAAAGGCAAACAGTATTCCATTCAACAGGAACCCAGAAAATATCAGGGGTAGATACTCAGTTTGCAGACAAAATGAACTTCAAACCTAAAATGATTTTTAAAAAAATAAAGAAAGCCACTACATACTTGTAAGTGGAAAACTACAAGAGGAAAAACAAAGAATTTGACATACATATGCACCCAAAACAGGAGCACCCAAATATATAAAACTGATACTAATGGACATGAAAAACGAAGCACACAGGAACACAATTGTAATAGGAGAACTTAACACCCCACTGTCACAAAGAGATAGATCAACTAGACAAAAACTTAGCAAAGAAATAACAGAACTGAATAATACTTGCGAGCAAATGGACTTAGTGGATGTTTACAGAGGATTGCACCAAACCACATCAGAATATACATTCTTTTTTTTTTTTTTATTTAAGAGGAAAAAGAGAAAAACACAAAACAAACCAAAGCGGCGTAAGGGTACACGCAATACAGAACTACAAAACAAAACAAAACAAAACAAAAAACCATAACAGTAAGAAATTACCTGCTAGTAGATTACACACTATTTTCTTGAAAATAGTTCCTCAAATCACAGTATCAAAGAACACAAGGTGGACATTCAAACAGGGAGACTGCAAACAGCTGTGTTCAATGTTCCAAAAACATTGATAAAGTCAGCTATTTAACACCCCCAAACACACTTGCTGTTATATCTGTTAGAGCTCCTTTTCTTTTTTTTTTCCCTCTCTTTTTTAAAACAAAATTTACACATCTTGGATTTTATTACTCCTTAGTGCTTATTACTTTCTTGGGGGGGGGGGAAGAATACAGTCAAATATGGCAAAACAAAGCTGTCAGTCAATACCAAGGATAGACGTAGCACATGGTGTAGAACAGAGTACAAGCTTATCAACAATGGTTATCAACGTTGTCCCTTGTTTCCTTAAAAAGAATTGTCTATCTTATTAGATATTATAAAGTTGGACAAAACAGTAGAGAACAAGACCAATAAAACTTAGGCATTGTAAACATTACAGGACTTCCAAAGAAGACAATAGTCAAACCAGAATGGGTATCTTAGTGAATCTTATTGTCTTCAAAGTAGTTGCCTATGTCTTCAAACTTGATACTATCATATAGAATGGAACAGAGTCTAATCAGTCAAAACAAGATCCTGGGAGTACTACAGGACTTCAAAACAAGTTAATAGGAAATCGAAAAGAGTTACTATTTATATATCCTAATTTTTTTGAATTATTTCTATAATTAAGACAAACATAAGAAATGACTAAATAATTTTTTTTTAAACAATAAGGGGGAGATTGAGATAAAACAGGACATAACAATATAACAATAGAGGTCACAGCATGACTGTTTCAATAACCTAGTACTTCACCACCTTATAACCTGACTTAATAGTAGTTACCATAGTGTCTTTTTCCTTGAAATATTTGGGTAAAACTTCATATACTCTAGCTTCAAATATTTTCATATCAAGAAGCCCAGAATAAAGCCTTTCTAATTAATGAGTGAAAACTTTATAAGGCTTCAAGGCCACCTAATGGGGAATCATGATTACCACATATTTTTATATATTTGAATCATTACTTACATTAGGGAAACTATTCGGTATTCACACATGCGAGATTGATTTATTTCACTTATGAGTATGGTCTCAAGCTGTGCCCATTTATTGATAAATATCTCAATGTGATCCTTCTTTATAGCTGAATAATACTCCATTGTATAGAAATACCACAACTTTTTTATCCATTCCTCAGTTGATGGGCACTTGGGTTGTTTCCAAGATCTGGCGATTACAAATTGTGCTGCTATAAACATAGGTGCACATATATCACTGTGGTATGATGCTTTCAGTTCTTCTGGGAA